CATGATAATTTTAAAAAAAAACTTTTTTTCCCCTTTTTTTTTTTTTTTTTTTTTTTTTTTGGTAATCAATTTTTCTTCGTTAAAATTGCACGGCAAGACAGTGGCATATATGAAGCTGTGTTAGCTCCCATGCTCTGCACCCACAAGATGAAAAAATAAAGAAAAGAAAAAACATTGGTTGCAGTTGTAGCAAGCTTTAAGTAGAAGACATTACATCGATTAAAGAAGCACAGTACTGTCGAAATATGATCCATGTGAAATAATTTTATTATTGCTTTGACTCATATTCCGTTAGAATTTTTCACTAATCGGTAAAAATATCAAATGCGAGCTTAAATTGTTTCTAAATGAGGAAGAACAAGTGCAAAATAAAATCTTTAGAAATGATAGGTAATTATAAAGAGGAGATTTAACATTATTAGAACAGGTTTGCACAGATCAGCACATAATTAAAACCAAATTTCACTAATAATGCTTGCATTACTACTGTTGGTCCGACGTTATGTCTTTCAGGTCAATGAAGATGTTGAAGTTGGTGGAAGATTATTCAAAAATCTTTAGACAACAATTTTTTTTAACTCAATAGATAGTGCATTTTTCCATAAAGTACGAGAAATTACAAGGTAGAAAGAATTCTGGTAACTATACCTTTCTTAAACAAAGTACACTGGACTTTGGACCCCGTATATGTAACTAGATCCAACCATATGGAGCTCTATGCATTTAATTGACAAATAAAACCAACAAACTACCATATTGGTGCGAGCAAAACCAGCTAACAATTTCACTGTTTATGGAGTTCAGCACCTGACACATTAATATCGACACAGTTTTGTAAATTTTAGAAGGGCAGGATTGATGATCCAGAAAAATATTTAACCATGGTAATTTTTAGCGATTGTTGTCTCTTTCCCCTTGTAACACAGAACAAGAACTAACGAACAATAACCTCGATCTTTATTTATAAAACATACGACAACTGGTCCCATCTCTATTAGGTTGCTTCACTTATTCCTGTGAACTTTCATCTCAAACTCATAAACAGTTGGTCGATACTGTTTGTTCCCTTTGAAATTACTCCAAGGACTCTGCTTGAAAGGGCCTGTACAGAACACTCACAATGCATGGGTGGGAGTGGGGAAATTTTTTTTTTAAATAATCAACCACCCGGTCCACCCCCCACCCACTCCCTCAAGCATGTGAGGTTTCTGTACAGCTACATCAGGCAAAATTCTTAATCCAATTCCTAAAGCAAAAATTGATCTGCACTTAGCAATCAGTGCCTTGAATTGTCAACTCAACTTCTAAATATACACTTCTGATCAAGGACAAAGGGAAAAAAACAGTAACCCAGTATGAAATACAAGTAAAAAAACAGGAGTAGGACCCAATTAGCATTCAACTTGCCTACTACATGTGGGTCCGAAAGGCTTCAATCCATATCAATTTAATCTTCCTTCTTTGTTCATTAATTATATAGCATACAATCCAGATATCCGTAAAACTGTATTTTTGTGCCTAGTCTTGAACACGACTGTCATTTAACTTACTAGATTAATAGGTATCTAATTCTTTTACTACGCTAAGTAGACCTAAAGTATGACCTATGCATTAACTACCGTATTGAAATATTAATTAAAATGAATAAATGTGTTCAATCTCTAATTCTTAAGCTTTTAGACAAGATGATTTAACATGATATTAGTACATTTCAAAGGTACTGAGGTTCAAGCCTATTTGCCACCCATTTATTAAAATCATGCACAGATTCGGCCTTTGCTTTTAAGAAAATAAATTGGGGTGCAAGTGAGACGGCGAGTTTTGAAGAATAAATTTAAATAAATGAATTTGATTTAATTGTTCCAATGGTCACTGAACTTAGATCCATATCTTTGATTAGTCACTGAAATTTAAAATGTCGAGTTTTGGTCACTGAACTTAGGTCCATATCTTCGATTGCTCATTGAAATTTAAAATGTCGAGTTTTGACCACTGAGCTTTGAAAGAAAAATGTTGTACATTACTCTCTGAACTTTGAAAAATGCTGACTCACTGTAAATTCAATATTTTTCAAAGATCAACAGTTATACTAGTGAGTAACCTACGGTATATTCCAAAGTTCATTGACAAAAACTCGATATTTTAAACTTCGGTGAGTAATCTAAGACATAAACTTAAGTTCAGTGAGAAATCTAAGACATTGACCTAATTTCAGTAATCAAAACTCGACATTTTAAATTTTATTGACCAATCAAAGACATGGATCTAAGTTCAGTGGCCATTGGAACAATTAACTCAACAAATTTGTATCTTCCTTGACATAATAAACTTCTAGATCACAAGGTTCAAGACGTTGTTCAAACTTATGTGAAGACCTTAAGCAGTAAAAAGCAAGCTAATCACAGAACTAAAACAAACAAATCCAATGCTCATTGAACCCAATTTTTTGGTGGCTGAAAGAATCATGGTCCAAGAAAAGGATAAGTACTGTTTATCAAATGACAGAAATGTCCTTGTAAATGACAGGTAAGGAACAAAAAAAGGGCAAAAAGCTGAAATAAAAGGAGGAATGACGAGAAAAACACTTCAATAGTGACTGCCCACTTTTCTGGGTGCAAAAGCTATCATCTCTCTCTTTTTTTCCGGGTTTCCCCATTAAAAAGGTGACAACGACGTAACACTTTTCTTAGGCCCATGTCTGGTTTAACAAAAAATGAGATTTTTAATAGATCTTTACATCATGTATAATTGAAAAATTGATAAAAGTTGTGAATCTCATTAGCTCAATGATTTATATTAAATTGTAGACTTTGATTAAGATTTTTCTCAACTTTTACTAACTAAACCAAACGGGGGCTAACAAATTACAAACGAGAAGACTGATCTATGATTAACCAGGTGTAATTAAAGACAGAAAAGGCATTTCTCCCTCTCTTGATCCAAACAGAGGGTTTTGGTCCCACTTAAAATCATCTTTTTTAATATTTATTTAGACCGTAAATCAGTCCATATTCCAAAGATAAAAAACATAACATGCTAAAAATCTAATCACCCTCATTAACAAAACAGAAATTTCATTGTCACACATGATCACCACTACTAATATTTGCAAGGGGCATAGTTTCTTTCCAAAAAAATAAAGGAAAAAGACATGTTACCTTGTTACATCCTGGGACCAGCTCTTGTAGTAGTCTCATTCGGGCATTGATCTTCTCTCTCCTAGCCTACATATTATAAACATAACCATTAATTAATTATGAAAGCTACTCACATTTTACTATTAATAACCAAGATTAAATGGTTAGATGTTAATTAGAAGCTTAAGATAATTTACTCTTTCAGCTAAGCTATGGCTATCGGTGGCTTGGCCACGGCGAGCTCTGACATGAACGTATGGCAGCTTCTCTCCGCCATCTTCAGAGGATTCATTTTGTACCCTTTTTTTGCTCTTCTTATTCAATTCTTTAACCTGAAAATGTCATCATGAATAGGTTACAGAATTATCAGATTTCACGAAATGGGTTTCAAGAATCATCGTGAATGGTTATGAAATTACCTTTTTCTCCCGTTCCTTCCGCTTACGGGACTTCAGATTCTGGTCAGAAACCGCCGGCGAAGAACCGTTCGGGTTTGAATCCGAGTTCATTTGTTCTTGCTTAACAATATCGAGCTTCTTTGAACTCGAAACGGACAACATTGAGTAATTTTCCGACGAATTATCAGCCAAAGCTAAGAAAGAAAGCTTTGAAGCATGGTCAATTAGGGCAATATTGGAAGGAAATATTTGCGGCGGAGGAAAATAAGAGATGTTGGGTTTCGCCCGAAATAGTTCGTCAGCGGCTTCCGGAGAGTTGACCAAGAGCTCAACTGCTTGTGGCGCCGGAAGTTCGAGAAGCGCAGTGAAGGAGCTGCCGGTTTCCGGCGGCGGCGGTGGTGCGGAGATTAGTCCGTGGATATCATCGAACCCGAACCCGATATCTCCGGGTTTAAGCCCGCAAATTCCGGATCTATATTCGAGTTCAGTTGCTTCAACTTTTGTTTCCATTTTGAAAATTCCAAAAAAATCACTTAATAGCAAAATAATCAACTTCAAATTCACCGAAATTTGAGTAGATTCAGGTCCGATAATTTTTATCCTGTTCAATTTTCCAGAATTCAAACCTTGGAGCCTAAAACTTCACACAAAACCCAATTGAATTCAACCAATATTGAGCACGTAGTGAATGGAATAAAATCCAAGCAATTCGAGCCTCCCACTAGGAAATTTTTAAAATTCAAAGACAAACTGAATGAAATTTAAAGAAATCAAGAAAAAACGAACCCCGTTTCAAAGCGAGAAAAATGACTAAGGAATTTGAAATTATATTTTAGAGGCAGTTTTTACTCAATTTAACAAACATAAGAGAAGGAAATTAGGGTATTATGGAAAAGGATTGCTCAAAAAGTTTCCAAAATAGCTGAGAAGAAGATATGCGGAGAGAAGTTGTCCATTTTCCCTTTTCCTGAATACAAAGCTGTGGGCTGTGTGAAAATTAGCTTTTCCAATGCAGTCAACATATATTTGCCCCTCTCTCTGTCTCTCTCTGCTCGGAGTTCTTGTTGTGGTGCGAAACCAACGACGTCTGGTATGGTCCCTGCCCTGCCTCTTCTTCCTCTCTATTGTTGTTTTTCTTCCTATTAATGCTATTTATGTTAGAATCATTGCTCTACACAACGTAAACATGTTAAGCTCTACAAGATGCATTGCATTTTGGCTCCAAATTTAACATTTCCATCACACATTTTTTTTTCAATAAAAAATTTTTTAATTTAGAACATATACTTTAGAAGAATTTCTAAAGAAAACGGGGAAGAAAAAACAAAGTGATGTGTCAGCAAGTTGGTTGGTTTTTTTATTTTTTAAATTCTCCAATCATACAACCTATTTTTAACCCTGTTTTTGTAGCATGTTTCTCTACTTTATGATTTCAGTCGTCATACAACTAACTATTCCCTTTTGGCTTCCTTTTCTTTCAATTTTTCCTTCTCACTCTTATTTAAGCTACACAATCTCTCCAAAATTAATATCACACGTAAATTGAAATTTTTTCTTAAAATACTATTCCATACATTAAAAATTAAAAGAAAGAGAGCCAAACAGAGGCACAGTTAGTAGTATGACTACTGAAATCCTAAAGTATATGTTCTAAATTTTATATTTAAGCCCTTGTTTGACATCCACTATAAAGAAAAATTTTGATAAAATATATTATGAAATAGTATTTTTTTTGAGAGAATATGTGGTTAAAAAATAAAAAATTTATTTTATTGAAAAATGTGTAGTTAAAAAGAAAACGAAAAAAAAATATATTAAAATTTTAATCGGTGTCAAACAAGGGCCAAATGAAGTGGATATCTACTTGTACTCATTGAAGTTGATTGACTCGTTTACCCTAGTATAAGATTATAATTCGAAAAAATATTTGGAAACATTTCATTGCACTTATTAGGAATATTTTAATTATTAGTATTATTGTTATTGAACTTTAGTATGCGATTCTCGTAAGTCATAATTAGACAAGAACAATTAGTAATTTAGTATTCAGGTAAATTTATCGATAACTTTATAGGGAAGAGTATTGGATTATACAAAATGTGTGATTTAAATTAATATTTAATTTTGATTGACTAAAAAACTAATTTTTTTTATAATAATTTTTAATGTTTGAGGAACGTATGCTGAAACTCATATTTTTAGTAATCTCGAATATGAATTTAGTAAGCATTAGTGTAGTTAAAGTGTTTGATTGAAAACTTGAGTAAACAAATCGAATATTGTTTTGCATGAGTTTAACTTAATCAATAAAATATTTTCTTAGTGACGTTTGAAAAAATAAACTAAATTTTTACAAGATTAGATGTTTAAATACATCTTATTTTTCTTTTTCTTTTGTGGTTAACAAAGCATCTCCTTTTCTTACTCCACGATAGTTTATGGGTTTGACTAAATAATTTTTATTTATTTTTCCCCTCATAAAAAACAGAAATTCAGCTAGCAAAGTACATGCAATCTGCCCAACTTGGTAAATTGGGCCAAGAAAGAAGAGACACAACACCCATTTAATTTGGGCCTTGCATCCAGCTCTCCATGTATGTACCAGTAGTGGAAATTACACTGCAACATCATTTTAATAAAATATTTAAATAGCACAATACATCATTTTTAAGGACCAAGCTCCACGTCCAAGAGCTCGGTTTATAGGGGCCTCACAGGCCCCTCACTATAGGGGTCAAGCCCATAGGCATTAAAAAAAGGTGGGGCCCGCCCCCACCTACTCTCTCACCTCGAAGCAAGCCCCCGTACTTGCATCTTTTTCCCATTTTTAATCCCATTAATACTATATATTATCAAAGTAAAAATGACATCTTCATTGTAACTTCACTCCTAATATTGATCAAATTAAAAAGCATTTTCGGATTTTCCAACATAAATGTGTTTCAATTTAAAATTGAAGATATCCCATATGATTGTACTGCTTCATTAGTGATTATATTAATCCATTTTTTATAGTGTAAAAGTATGACAATTAGAATCTATTGTTTCATATTATGTTTCGTAACAAGCATTATGACAAATTGAATATGTTGATAATAAATGTCTCGTGTTTCATGTCACGTGATGTTCCTCACAAGTGAAACATTTCAAAACCATATTGTATAGTGCTTTCCATTAGACGACAAATGTCTATTATGCTTGCTTTACATTCCATGTACAATGTAGTGCAATACACTATACTAAGATGCCTCGACACCAGTGTCACATGTATCATTCAAGACACGGTTCACTATATGCTCTCTATTTCAAACGAACATGATGTAGGGCTTTCCAGTTTTTTGAAATGTTCAAATACATACCAACTTATTAAAACTTTTCTATGGTTCGAATTCAATCACCATACTGCTACAATGTATATAACTTTAATTCAGATCTAGCACTTTATCAGTTGTGGTCATAGGTTCTACTTCAAAGCTACAACAGCAAGTGAAGAGATTACCAGCTACCTAGCACACTTGCTTTCTTGGGCTATATGTTGAGAAAAATATAGGGAAATCTGAATATTTAATGAACTTCAAGGCACGAAAAAACGTTATCTTTTAAGAGATGTTTCTCCCCTATCCAACAAAGTCACAATTGGGGTATGATAGAAAATCTCTCTCAGGATACAATAGAGACGTTTGATTCAAATTGTGACTATTTGATCAAATCAAGAAGACACTCGAAAATAATTGATTGATGCCAAGAGAAAGAAGGAAGAATAATTTTTTTAATGCATTTTGCAAACGAGAATTCGCCCAGAATTTATAGAAATTGAGGCAACCGTTTGAATAGGTGTGTCTTTTGAAATCCTTGCGTACATTTACTGGAAGTGACTGTTAAAAACGAACAGATGTATCTATTCAAAGACTTCTGAAAATAAAATTCTCTTTTGGGGGCGTTACCCCTCGACCCAGTCAAGTCGATCCCCGTTGCGTAGCGGCAAATACAAGTCGGGGCGATAAATCATTCGCAAAACAAAAAAATAAATATATGCAAAATGATGAAAAATATCTAATACTATATACAATTATATTATTGTCCCCCAAACAATTGTAGCTAGGTTAAATATCCTTCTTTCTGTTACAACAAATCAAGTTGCATCTTGCCCTTCAGTTACAAAGAAGCAAAAACTGGTAAATTTTATGAACCATGTATCTCTCTTTCACGACACAAATTGTTTGGGAAACTTATTTTTAGTCTCTTAGAAGGTGAAATAAGTCTTGAAATCTTGAAATTTAAAATTGTAATTTCCGATAAGTTACATGTCTAGTAGTGCATAACATTTTTTAGTTACTTGAAATTTACAATTTGAGACTAAACGTGTATAAATATGGAAGGTAAAACATTCTCGGTTGGAAAAAAAAAAAAGGGTAAAAGTAGAGCGAAAAGAAACTAGTGAATAAAACATCCTAACTGCCGATGTTTTTCAATTACAAAAATTAGAGAAATTATAGGAGTCAGTAATTTTGGTTTAATTTGGTACAACATTCAGTGTTTATTGTATACAAAATATCTTGTAGTACTAAGATCATGCGAGAGTTAGTTATAACTACTTAAAATCCATGAGATACTAACCATTGGATTCGCTTAATCTAAAGGTCATGATTATGTGTCAAAAATACTTGTCAAATTCATGTGTAAGAAGAATGTTTTCCATATATAAAATAACAATGGTGAATATATTTTCTTCGAAAAATATTTGATACTATGACATTGTATAAAAGTAAAAATAAATTTTACAATATTTAACACTAATGATGATGGTGTTACTACTACTACTATAAAATGATGTTATTATAATCAGTGTCTATAGTGATCAGTGATCGTGAAACGTTAATTTACCAAACAATTAATTATTTTTCCCATGATTAATTGTCTCTCGAAAATCGATTATCTTACAAGCACAACAATATAAACCAAGCTTTAAACATAATAAAAGAAGACGGCCACATTGTCTATTTGATCATTATTGTGTTTAGTACTCTTTTTTAATCCCAAAAAGCAAACATATTTATGGCATGTAGGTAAGGTAATTTGAACTCGTCTAACTCGTATTACTTAAGGAAAAAGAATAAGTTATTGTCAATTTATCATATCCACAACAGCAATGTCCAGTTACTAATGAGTCGATGTTTGGCTCATTTTTATAGATTGTTTATAAATATTAAAGTTACTTTTTATTCATGTATTTTGAGGGATGGATAATAATTGCTCACTTATTCATAATTTATTTCTATTGATTTATAATTTAATCTAATGATGGAATAATTTCATTTTTGCATAATTTTGCCTGCCTAGCTAACCAAAGAGGCCATTGGGGGTATTATGCAATGACTCGAATGTTTACAAGATAAAGAGACTGAATTGTCGCCTCCCGAGGCACAGTTCAACTGTTGAATCAATCAACATTTGTCTTGCTTCCAACGGCAGGGTGAAGGTTCGAATCTTGGTGGAAACCTGCGGCCAGATTTATTTGGTATGGAACAATCACTTTGGAGGAAGATCTCTTGTGCGCAAAAGTGTACAAGCGGTGGGGGGAACCTGTGATCTAGTTGAGACATAACCCGCGATTTACCCCCTTCAAGGTTCTAGGGGCAAGGATCTTGGAGGTTCAGGATTTAGTCTAGTGTAAGTTAGGATACTTGGATATCAAATAAAAAAGAAAAAGAGACTGAATTGTCAGGCAAAAATAATTATGGTACATATTTTTGGGAGATCTGACAACACTTAATAATGTTAAAAAAAAAAAAAATTGATTTTTATATTTTTCAATCTCGATTGCATATGCATCTTTCTGTAATAGTTGTCAACTGTAAATAGGAAAATAAATAGGCCAAAACTACCAAAAAAAAAAAAGAAAAAAGAAAAAAAAGAAAGAAAAAGGTGAATAATTCAAAACCATCTGAATTTAGTTATTAATAGTAAAGATATTGGACCACATACACCATTGTCTTCAAAGAAATGGTCACACTCCAACGGTCCCATAAATTCATCAGATATAAATGAGTTAATTCAAAAAAATTCTGAATTCCAATAAAAAAATTCATTTATGAAAAAGCACCCGCAATTTTAAACGTATATATATACTATACGCATATTATCGAAATATACGAGGGTGCCTATCTTGTTGACGCTTTCTTGATTCAATTTGGAGATTAAATGTAAGACTATTGTAGGATTTTTTTTTATTCATTTCTCTTATTCTCGATTAAAATTCTATTATTAATTATTTATTGTGGTTCCCATTTGCCATAATAGTTATCTTTATTGATTCTATTTGTTTAGTAGTCCAATCATTATGACACGATACCTTGCTCCTTGAGTCTCATTGATTATCTCGATCTCTTCCAAAGTTTGAGTCTCGATAAAGCTATCTTAAGTCAGACTTTATTATGCAATGAGCTTCGTAATTTTCAGTTATATTTCACTAAAAAATTATAATTAAGCTTTTTAATTATCTCATATCTTTTTTTCGAGCTACAAATTTCAAGTTTCTTTAATTTTTATTATTTTATTTAAAATGGATGTTGGACCACAAAATCTTTCGCCTTCAATACGTGAATTAAAGGGAAAGATCTTATGACAAGGATTGGTGAGCTCCCACTTGCTGGATGGCCA